GTATTCTGCTGGTTAGAAGTGATTTGCTAGGTCTAATCTATACTCAAGGGGAGGGGATTCCATAAGGGCATGAATACTAGGGGGGAATCATTGTAGGCCATTTTATTTTTATTTTTGTTTATTATTTATTTTGTAATCCTCACTGGAGGGTATGTTTATTGATTTTAGAGAGAGAGGAAGCAAGGTGGGTGGGGGAGGGGCAGAAAGAGAGAGGCAGAGAGAGAGAGATGAGAGAGAAACACTGACTGGCCGCCTCCTATAGGTACCCTGACTGGGATTGAACCAGCAGCCTAGGTGTAAGCCCTGACCAGGGACCAAACCTGCAGTCTTCAGGTATACAACGCTACAACTAACTGAACCACCCTGCCAGGGCATTGTGGGCCATTTCAGATCCTATGGATAGGACACATACACACATAGAACTCTTATGGAGTTAATTCTGTGCTCCTTCCCCCCAAATTTGTTTTTTTCAACCCCCCCCCCCACTTTGTATGTTGAAGTCCTAAACCTCTATGGCTCAAAATGCAACCCTATCTGAAAATTAGGTCTTTAAAGGGATGACCAAGTTAAATGAGACAGTTAGGGTGGGTTCCAGTCCAATAAGAATGAAGTCCTAAACCATAATGTTTATAGCAGCACAATTTACAATAGCCAAGAGTTGGAAGCAACCTAGGTGCCCGTCAGTAAATGAATGGATCAAAAAATTGTGGTACATACACACAATGGAATTCTATGCAGCAGAGAGAAAGAAGGAGCTACTACCCTTTGCAACAACATGGATGGAACTGGAAAGCATTATGCTGAGTGAAATAAGCCAGGTGTTGAAAGACAAATACCGTATGATCTCACCTTTAACAGGAAGCTAAACAACAAAACAAACAAGCAAGCAAAATAAAAGCAAAGACACTAAAATAGAGAACAGGGGGACAGTGACCAGAGGGGAGAGGGGAGGGAATTTAAGGGGAAAAATGGGAGGGATTTAGGGGAACAAGTATAAAGAACACAGGGACAATAACTAAGGGGGGTGGAAATGGGAGGGAGGTGGGGTGCATGGGGGAGGGGTGGGCCGGGATGGAAGAAATAGAAAACTGTACTTGAAAAATAACTAAAAAAAAAAAAAGAATGAAGTCCTTGCAAGAAGAGGAAGTTTGGACAACAGAGAGAGGCACTGGGGGTATGTACGAGCACACAGAATAATGACTATGTGAGGGCACAGTGAGAAGGCACCTTCTGTGAGCCGGGGAGAGAGGCTTCAGGAGAAATCATCACCTCGGTGTTGGGAATTCCCAGCTTTTAGAACTGTGAGAAAATAAATTTCTGTTGTTTGAGCTACCCAATCTGTGGTATTTTATTCTGGTAGCCCCAGCAAACTAATATGTACTTTTATGATATCTTAAAAAGAAAACTTTTAAAAAATAATGTTTAAATTTCATGGTAACCAAAATCTATCTTCTTTTTTTCCTCTTGAAATTACAGGAGCAGTGTTCCTTTAGTTGGGACTGGGGGCCTTCCTTTCCTACCCAGGGCATCTGGAAAGATGTTAGGATTGAAGCCTATAACATTTGTCATCTGAACTACTTCACGTTTTCCCCTGTGTATGGTAAGCTAAGACATGTGACTTCCTTTTGACTTTTTCGAGCCTCTTCTGAGTTGCAAGAATTGGGTTTCTAATTTGAATATATAGATTTACTTTTCAGACACTTATTTGAAAAAAATTTGTGACACATTAAATCCCAAAAAGTGAAAAATATGTACAAACTGTGATTTGTAGTAAAAATTTGTAACATAAAGCAGATAAGTAGGTAGGTAGATACCTTTTAACATATTTTGAAAAGAATGAAGGTATGAGTTGCTCTAGGTTTCCCAAGCTAAGTGTTTGTTCTTTCTTTTAAGAGTTTCCTTTAAAAATTTTTTTTTTTGCATTCTGCACACTAACATAGAGATAAAAGAAAGACTCAAACTGAAATACAAAAGAATTCTTTACAATTAATTTCACAATTTCATTTTTTAAATGATTTTATTTATTTATTTTTAGACAGAGGGGAAGGCAGGGAGAGAGGGAGAGAAACACCAATGTGTGGTTGCCTCTCATGTGCCCCCTACAGGGGACCTGGCCCACAACCCAGGCTGTGCCCTGCCTGGGAATTGAACTGGTGACCTTTGGTTCACAGGCCAGTGCTCAATCCACGGAGCCACACCAGCCAGGACATCACAATTTTATACATTTACTAACATGTCAGTGAAAAATCACCAACTATTATAAAATATGACAAATTATATTAAAAAAATATTCAAGTATGAAAAGTGCTGTACTTTTGATGTCTTCACTCCCTTCTCTTCTATGTGCTTATTTTTAACACATTGTTTCCTTGCATAGGTGCATCCCCGTACTTGTGTCCTTCAGTTGTCCATTTACACATTCTTCTGTCTGCTACAAGGCCATATTCATGTCGATATCCAGTCAAGCCAGGATAGTCCACTCTAGAATTTAAATTTACCACCACCGGTGGTCCAACAATTTGCCTTAAGAAGTCACTAGGGGCCCTGGCTGGTGCAGTTCAGTGGATTGAGCCCCAGCATACAAACCAAAGTGTCTTGGGTTTGATTCCCAGTCAGGGCATGTGTCTGGGTTGCAGGTCAGGTCAGGTCCCCAGTACAGGGCGTGTGAGAAGCAAACACACATTGATGTTTCTCTCCTTCTCTTTATTCCTCCCTTCCCCTCTGTCTAAAATAAATAAGTAAAATCTTTAAAAAAAAAGAAAAAAAGAAAGAAATCACTAGGGGTTTGCTTCCACAGACTCATTTTAACTATCCTGATCAGAAATTTGAAAGGCAGGGTAGCTGAGTTCTAATCTGAGCCCTGCTACTTAATTGACTGTGTATGTCGGATAACTCATTTCACCTCCTGGGGCCTTATGTTCCTCATCTCAAGGCCGGGACTTGGAATCTCTTTTCTAAGTGCCCCACAAGCCCAGCCTCTGCAGACGATGGGATGGGATGAAACCAAAACTTGTTTTCCTTTGTAAATGCATTGGGCCTGCTGGTTTGTATTCCTTTTTGCTGCCTGTGTGGTCACTTTCACTGCCCCAAGATCTTGATTTGTTCAAACGATCAGGCTGACTTTCCATCACTGCACATTTTCTCCTTTGATGGCCAGGACACACCAGCCTTTTTGAGACTTAAAAATAAACTGGAAGGCAAATCATGCATAAAGAAAGTTTTGTAAGGTAAAGTATAATACTTTTTTAGTTGAAGGAACTATTCACAAGAAAAGAGCATTGAATAAAAGCTGAGAAATCTCACAGATGTCAGGGAGTCAGTTAAAAGCTGGTCAAATATTTGTTAAGTTCTTGGCCTAGCACTGTGTGTGTTTGGCATAGGAAAGAATATCGTATCTCATTCCTGCATGTTGATTGGGCAGGGAGAGGCGGTACAAGGGAATACCAAACCAAACATGTTGTGTAATGGTCTTTTGGGAGGGCAGCCCCAGTAGCTCAGAAAATCAAAGATCAGTGGGGTTTTGAGAAGTTAGGGAATTGATGCGGACCCTGGCCGGCAGGGTCCGTGTGTTGTGGCTGCGACGAACAAATTCACATGGACTACAGAAGTCCTCTGGAGAAAAAGGAACTGCATGACCACTCTCTAAGTGAGAGAGAGGGCCCTGGACAAGCTTTTATTGCTTTTCTGGGCACATTACATTGAGGATGGTCTCATTTACTATGCACAGGTTTGCTGTAGCTGATGACCTTTTACAGATAACAAAGAAAAGAATGTTGCTGATTATTTCAAAGAGATGGATGTTACAGATTAAGGGAAAAAGTGGTTGAACTGGTTACATACCATAGTTGGGAGGTTTAGCACAGATTTTAGGAAGTTACTTTAAAGATATGCAGTAAACATTTTCTGCCTCAATCAAAGGTGAGGTAGTTTTAGCAAAAGCAAGACTCATAGCAGCCTAGGTACAATGCAGGCCTGATTCCCCACGGGAGAACCTGTCTGTGGGCGTGGGTCCTGTGTGCCGACTGCGCTCCCCACTGGCCTTTCTGAGTGTGGGCTGGACTACATTTCCATGAGGAAGGTGGAACAGTCCCTTATAGGGAATGAAAGTAGATCTTTTTTTCTTTTTTTAATTGAATTATTGGGCTGACATAGGTTAATAAGATTATATAGTTTCAGGTGTACAGTTCTATAACACATCATCTGTATATTGTAATGTGTGCCCACCACCCCAAGTCAAGTTTCCTTCCATCACCATTTATCCCTTCTATCCCCTCTTCTACCACCCCCGTCCCCAGAAGGTGGATCTTCAATGTTAGCTCATGATGCTCAGTCCAGTTCTGTGCAGGCCTAACTTGGTGAAATCAGTAAACAAGAATGTGATACGTCAGTACAAGAGTTCTGCTATCTTTAGGGCACTGGCAACTCTAGACTGCTATTTAATTGAACCAAGTCTGTTTTTGAAGACAGAAGACACAAGCAATTCAGAGATAGTTGATAGTTGAGATCATTTGGTGCTGCTGGTATTTTTAAATCTTAAAAGGCATTAAAAGATCTCATTTAACTTTCATCTATAAATGTGGCTGTTTAAGCTCCTCTAGTTCAGTGCTTCTGAAACTGTTCTTCAGAGGTGTGAGCTGAACTAAGTTGTGCTACTCAAATCAAACAATGGCTCTGGTTCATTCTCTCCCATCCACACACACAGTTTTTCTCAGGTGTATATGATGAAGTCTAGTTCAAGAAGGGGTCTCATTTTTCAAAAAGTTATTTATTTCATTGTTTTGAAGCTTCATCAGTGTTTTAGCAGTAAGTACTGAGTTCCAGAGACCTGAAAAAATTTGAGTAACACTTCTCTAGTTTAATTAAAATTTTTGAGTTTGAAGCTAAACATTTCTTCCTGAATATGAGTTATTAGAATTCAGTTTACTAGTCACTAGTGCATGAATGGATTGTATTTGAATTAAGTCAATTAATTTAAATGATGCTTAAAATTTAATTGAATTCAGTGTAATCAGTTGTTCACATGAACTACATTTTATCCTTGCACAGGGGCCATGCTAATCTTCTCTGTATCGTTCCAGTTTTAGTACATGTGCTGCCGAAGTGAGCACCATGTGAACTACATTTTAAATGTTTTATGACTGCACTTTGTAGTGTACTTAACATAGAGTAAAATACGCTTCTTGTTCAGAAGATGTGCCCTAAGCATGGTAAGCAGTAATTCTTATAGTTTTGATTAATTTTATAGATTTCAATTCGGTTATTTGATGTAATAAGGAAAATTGAAGCATAAATTTGTGAAAGCATTAGGAGTGGAACTTCCTTCAGGAGTTTTTCCAGAATTTTTTTCATCACTAAAATCAATAGAAGTTTTTATTTTAATTTTTAAAAATATTTTATTTATTTATTTTTAGAGAGAGGGGAAGGGAAGGAGAAAGAGTGGGAGAGAAACATCAATGTGTGGTTGCCTCTCATGTGTCCCCTACTGGGGACCTGGCCTGCTACCCAGGCATGTGCCCTGACTGGGAATCGAACCAGTGACCCTTTGCTTCACAGGCCCATGCTCAATCCACTGAGCTATACCAGCCAGTGTAGTTTATGCAGTTATGATTGTCCCAGTTTTTACCCATTCACTCCCCTCTGCCCAGCCCACCCCCCAGCAAAGGAAATTTTTAAAAGTTGAAAAATAATAAAGAGAATAAGCTAATATATTCTGGATACTTTTATGTATTTATTTGATATATAGTGTGAAGCAGGTACTGTAAAGTTACTAAATGTATAAAAATAGTTCATAATAAACAAATACATAAAATTTTTACTTAAAATAGAATATATTAAATTTTAATATTTTGTGTGAAACGAGATTGGTCAAAATAAATGAACACAGTGACTATCTCTGGGTGTTAATACTACAGATAGTTTATATTTATTCTTCTGCTTAACTGTGTTTTCTAAATTTAGATATTTAGTCTATATTGTTTCTGTAGTAAGGGAAAAAGTCCAGCTATTAGTTTTAGCTATTAGTAGCAAACTAATCTATTAGTAATTTAAGCCAACTGCAAACTAATTTAAGTCAAACTAATTTGACTATGTGGGATTTTCTGCTTTCTCCTGTTGAGGCTAGAATGGGATAACATTTTTGTTTTTCTCAATATTCAATTTATTTCTTAATGTAAGATTAATGAGGAGGAAAATGCAGACAACTGTAATTGAACAACAATAAAGTACAGTAATCCCTCACCTATTGTGGGAGTTATGTTCCAGAGACCCCCGAGATAGGTGAAAATCCACAAAGTAGTGGCATTATATTTTATTATTTATATATATTTTAAAGCTTTATAAACCCTTCCCACACTCCTATAAACCTTTCCCAGTCTCTTATGAACCTTTCCCACACTCTTATAAACACTTCATGTGCTCTTAAACACTCTTTACACTCTTAAACCTCTGTAACTTTAACAACATATAAAATTCTATATGGGTACCCACCAGTGAAGTAAACAAAATCCTGTGATATAGTGAAAACTCCACAATATATATCTCCAGAATTAGATATATATTTTTTAAAAACCCACGATACAGTGAAGCCACAATAAGTGAACCACAATATAGTGAGGGACAACTGTAATTAAAAAAAAAAAAAGATTAGTGAGCTTACCCCTGAAGATCAAATGACCAATCATAATTTCCCAATGTAATTGTGTATAGTATGACAGAAAAAGGTTGTTAGACTTTTAAGAAATTAACTTGAAATTCCTGTGAATGAATTTACTTATATACACATACACACACATATATAAAATAAGTCATATACATATATAAATATTTTTGTGTGTATCTCAGTACTTATAATAGTTGTTGCTAAAGTTCAGCACTTTTCAATATCCTGTGGTCATTTGTTTGATTTTGTTCTAACCTCAGCTTTCTAAATGATCTTTACATCTCCTTAATATTTAAAATAATGAAAACACATTTATATTTGAAAAAAATATATAATGACGTCAAAGGAAAACAAAAATTTCTTCCATTATCTCTTAGGCTCTTGTCATTTTTCTAGGTATTATAAAGCACACCAATGCATTGGTGAGACTTTCTTTGAAACCTTATGAGAAAATATTTATTTGAATGATTCATCCTTAGTCCTGAAATGTTCTAATCAGGTTTTAAATAGCAGTAGCTGTTTAGGGCACCCATATTTTTAGTATTTTAAACAGTGAAAGATTGACCCTGGTATTGAAAAGAAAAGCTCAGATGCTTGTTACCAGATGTGGAAACCCAGCAAGATTCTGCTGTTCTTTTTCCTTGGGGAGGGAGCGGAAGCCTTACCCCGTGTGTCGTGTGTTGGGGAAGGGGCGAGGAATTTGGGGGCTGGACTTGGGTTTCTAAGGTGTGAAGGGAGGGGAGATGGGGGGAGGACAACTGGTATGTGTGGGGGTGGGGGTGCCCCAGTTCCAGAGGTTTGGACTTTTATAAGCAAATAATCTGGCCCAAAATGCAGGCCCTGTGTGGTGCTGGTGGTGGTGGTGGTGGTGAAGGAGTTGGACGGAGGTGTGTGTGTGGTGGGGGGGGTGGCAGCGGTTCATTTATTTATTGTTTTCTTTATGTTGGGTCTTTCATATTTGTAATCTGATGTGAATTGTTCACATTAGGCCCTGAAATTAGTGGGAGGGCCTAATGTGAGGGAGGGCCCTCCCTGAAATTAGGGAGGGATGAGGGTCTAGTTTCTTAAGCTTTTCATAAGGTTACAGAAACAGATTAAGTCTAAATAAATAATAAGTATGTTCTGCTGAAATCCTACATTGTTTAATCTTTTATTACCACAGTTATAGAAAAGAGAGTGTAGACATAGATGTTTTTCAGCGTGTGACTCCTCCTCTTGAGCTGAGGTGAGCTGTGGGTCTTTAAGTTGTGCTCCAGCATCTCACAGATGCTGCCTTCCCCCAACCTCTTCAAGTTGACTTGCTGCCTCCGCCTAGAGCAGCTCCCCTCCTCCCTTCTCCAAGACTCAGAGCCGGAGGAGTGAGTTTAGCTCCACCCTGGCCTGTCCAATAGAAGCCTCTATTGGAGGTCAGTGCTGCCCTTTGCTTACAACTTAACACAATAGAGCAAGAGATGTGTCAGTCTTGCTTAGTGCCTTGTTTGATGCATTTATTTTCTTTCTTGCATTCATTTTGAAGCACTTCCATTTATCATCGAATTATTTATTCATGAAAATGACAGTATTCACCTTTGAAAATATCTTTATAGGTAGCTAGATTGCTTGAATAATCTCTCCTCTGATTAGCTCCCTTGTTGCATAAATAGGTTTTTCCCCCCTCTGGAATTTACCAATTTATCCTTCTTTGGGGGGGGGGGTGTTTTGCATCTGGTTTGCCTGGATTTCATCTTTGAGGATTTTGTCCTGCTGAGTAGGCAAGGAGATCTTTACTGCTTAGTAAAGAAGGGGAAGACAGCTGTTGTGACTAACTGTGAACCTGCTTTTCAGGCTAATGCAAGCTGTTCGCTCTTTGAAAAGCAGCTGCTGAAGTCTGTGCTATAATTCCAGCAGGAGCACAGGAAAATCTCCTGCGTTTGAATTTACACATTCTGTGGATTGGTCATTTCGGCTTGTTGTCGTTTCAATGTCTTCCAATGTGCAGGACTACCTTTTCACTGTAGCTTTTCATCCTCTGTTAAAGATGCAAGAAGAGAGCGGGCAAGAGGAAGAGCTGTGAGCCGCTCAGCAGGGCGAAGCTAATCAAGGCAGCTGTCTCTGAATAGCTCCCCCCTCCCCAAGAAGATGGATGAAGCATCTTTTTTATCTTACATAAGCAACCTACCGATGTTTGCAGATCTGTCCCAGGCTGACCTTAATGTTCTTCCATTTCTCTGCCAGTTCTTAACCCCCCAGATGCCATCTGGATTCTTAACTGTGACCTCTGAATGCATTTTGTTTCTCTAAGTAGATTCAACGTCTTTGTTTTTTTGAGTTGGGGTGTAATTTACAGTGTTTGTCAAGGCTTACAGAAAGTAATTATTCAAGAAATATATTTTCAGTATTGACAGAAATTCTCGCATAACTGTTGCCATGACCTCCACAGGTAGCTTAGGTTACAAACATGGTATTTTGACAAGCGGGGGAACTATGGCACCATGTAATTCGGCATGTAGTGGAGGGTGAGACACATCCTCATTTTTAGATTCTGTGTTCTTTTTTTATGAAGGGGCTAACGTTTTATTGTTACAATCCCCCCAAATGCTTTGTTTCCCACTGGATATATTTGACACTTGGATTTAGACTCTGAAAGGCAAAAAGTACTTTTGCTTTTGGTTTTTCTCATTGTTCTTCTAAAGGTTTCAATCAGTATATGTGTGTCCGCTAGTGCCTTCTTTTTGGTAGGCACCTCTGAGGGAGGTGCAGGGAAGGTAGAGAACACCAGAGTCAGGAAACTGGGCTCCTTATCCTGTCCACCGGCTTGGAGGCTTTGGAGCTAGATTCTGCACTCAGGACCCTGCAGGCTCAGCTGCAAAGGGACTAGGAGATTGCCAAGTTTCCTCTGCCTCCAACATCCCATGGGTCTCCCCCTGTGCTTGTGTACCACAGCAGGCATTACGGCATACTGAGGGCCTAAGTGTGGAAGAACCCACTTTTTCTTGAAGCTGAGCATATGACTATGGGAAGACGTTGATACTTGAGGCTTAATTGCCATCAGTTCTGCAATTTGCCATTAGTTAATGGACACACTTGAATTAATGTAACTCAGCCATCTTCTGATTTTTCTACTTCCATGTCTTCTTATATATTTGTTTTTCCTCTTAGACAACTGAATCAAGCTGTGTTTTCTTCCCGGCCGCATCTTGACAAAGAAGTAGTCTGTATAGGAATATAAAAGGAGCTGGCATGTTTTGGAGGATTTTAAAGGTTAATATGTTGGCTACACGTACACTGACTGGAGCCATCTTGGAGACTGTGTGCAATGGAGAAGCAGCACACAGTAATCTGGGCTGTGTAGCTGCTTATTCGCCCCATAAATTCCTGTCCATCCAAGTCAGACAGGGTAGTTGATGTGTTTGTTCTTGCTTATTTTTATTTTTAAAGAAACCTTACTGAATCAGATTTGGGAAAATCTGA